GTAAGTATACGCCAGACCCTGGTCTGTTACAAGGGTGAGCAAACTGGAAAGCCCTCTGGCCAAATCCAACCTGCAGTTTTATGGAAACCGTCACACCCATTCACTTACACATTATCTATGGTGTGTTTGCATTAGAGTGCCAGAATTAAAAGGGATGACCAAAAACATGCAGGTTTTTAAGTTTAAAAATGTGTTGCAGCAGACACTTTACCATTAATCTTCTTCAAGGCATTCACTCATTGTATTTTTAATCTCACTTTGTTTTTGTAAAGACATTTCTTTTTTTACTTGTTTGTTTGTTCGTTTGCTTTTTTGGTTTTGTATTTTAGGGAAGGCTCTGCAGGGTGTTCAGGGTCTCACTACTAGATGAGACTCAAAGTGATCCTCCTGTTTACAGCCTCCCAAAAGCTAGGATTACAGGTGGGTGTCACCACACCCAGTCTCAGTTGCCACCTCAGCACACCCTGGGGTTGGGGCTAGCCCAGCAGGCCCAGGGCCAGCTCCGGAGCCTGCTTGAAGGCACTTTAATCCGCTGAGATATTTGGCTGGCCCTTTGTAAAGACACTTGTGAAAGAGGACTTCTAGTGCCACTTCAGAAAGTGACAAGAATGATAAGATAGGTATGTCTGAAGCAAAGGGAATTAATGGCACTGTGTCTTTTATAGTAATAATTGCTTGTAAGACTATTTAAACATGCACTGTATTTTTAAATTATATTATTGGATTTGCTTTCTTACCATTGGCAGGAAGTTTGTCAGTCCCTGCAGTAGAAACCTAGAGCTTCATATCTAAAAGTAGATTTTAGAAAGTAGAAGCTCAGAGAAATACACACAGATTTTTTTTTTTTAAATTGCAGATCAAACACAGGCACTTTCCCGCCTTATTTTGTTTCATTTGTTACAATAGTGGTTATAACTGTCTAAATTGACTTCATGTTAGGGCCGGCCAAATAGCTCAGTGGATTAAAGCACCTAGGGGCTGGGTCCCCTGGCCTGCCAAGCCCACCCTGCCCTGCCCCCAGGGTGCGCTGAGATGGCATCTGAGACTGGGAGCAGTGGCACATGCCTGTAATCCCAGCTCTTGGGAGGCTGTAAACAGGCGGATCACTACAAGTCTGATCTAGTAGTGAGATCCTGAACACCCTGTAGACCATTCCCTAAAATATAAAAAAATAAATAAATTGACTTCATGTTGTGCACTGCAGCCTGCAGTTTGAGAACCACAGTCCCAAACTCTTGTTCACACACACAGAGAGTTCTGTGAGAAAGATGATCTAGAAGCCTTACAGTAGTTGGTGGTGTCTTGGAGGGGTCTTGGATTGGAATGTTAGTCAGCCAGTAAAAGCAACAATGCTGAAGAGTCTGCAGTCTGGAGTGAAACAGCAAGTTGCTAAAGGACACACAGATTGTCGTCCTTGTCCTGTTCTATTAGTGTTGTGGAATAAACAGAAAAAAAAAAAAAACTACCATGAATGTGGTGACTTAAAACAATTTAGTGGGCTGACCAGATAGCTCAGCGGACTAAAGCACCTGCTTAGGCAGAGCGCAGCAGCCAGGGTTCAATCCCCGGCCTGCCGTGCCAGCCCCACCCCTGGGCTATACTGAGATGGCAGTTGCCCCTGGGTGTAGTGGTGCACGCCTGTAATCCCAGCACTTGGGAGGCTGAAAAC